GTCGCATTATCTAATTAATTTTTTTATGTCATACTGAAATTATAATAATGTTTCCTGGGATGTGATACACGAGGCATTTTGTGCTTGTGTGCCGCTACATAATTATATGCAATTTATATGAAGATTAATAATAAACGATTTTAATAAAACAAGAATTCTAAATCGACTTTAAATGTAATGCAGTGTCATGAGGAGATATTAATATTGTACAATATTTTGTGCCTTGTTGGAAAATATTTTTACGCGGTATACAGCTCGCGGAATAACCTTTTCACAAGCGTATACACTTATGCACACAAGTCGCGTACGCAGCTGCAATTTAATAATAATACTCTCCTGAAAAAGCATATAATTTTTTAGTTTCGCGGAGCAGTGCCATTAGCAAAAACGTTTTGCCACATGCCAAAGTATGTATTCTCTCTAACGTGTTCTTCCCGGGGAATTCCATTTTACCTCCTCTTCCCTCAATGCCTCATCCGTGTCCTTTTTTCCCTTTTCTTTTTTGCCAATTTTTTTTATTTTACTTTTAAAACGCGGACTCTTCCTCCGGCGCGCGTTTTTTCAAGTGCGCTGCGAGACGACGGAGCTCGAGCGAGGAGCAAAAATCGCGCGAGCTAGAACTTAGAATCTCATTTGCAATAATGCGGGAAATAACTCACACGGCCGAACTGTTAAGTATAGGACGCACAATTTCGCTTTACGTAAGCGCGAATAGGTGAGGATCGCCTCGGCACGCACATGTCTTCGTTCTGTTAATTAATTGCCTATTTCTGCGGCTCGCAAGGCCAAGGCTGGGTCCCATCTTCCTCCGCGCTTATCGGACGGGCGCGTGAGAAAAGTATCGCGCGGCGCGTTTACTCGCGTGCATACTGCGCGGTGTTATCGATTGGCGAAGATCGCCGCGCGCGACGGCCAAAGCGGTCGCCATTACCGGGATTGCGGGCGTCGCATTAGGTAAGATCCAGCCTGTACACATTCTCATTCGGATAATGCACCGCTAAGTGGATGCCCCGTATGTGTTGCGACTCGTGGCCTATCAATCTTGATCTCGGCTTATACGAGGGGCCGTACCCGCGATACAACGCACACTATCGAGGGCTCTCTCTCTCTCTCTCTCTCTCTCTCTCTCT